CTTGGCGCCCGTCTTCCCGGGGGAGAACGAAGGCTGCCGCACTGCGCGGTCCGCAGCACCTCTTACAGGTTGAGACCGCGCCGTCGGTCCTACGCGCCGTGCTTCACCGGGCCGTGACAGTCCCGATGGCAACTCAGTGGTGCTGCGACCTCAAGGAGAGGCAGCACGGACATGTCAATGCTCTTCTGTAATTGCCTTCGGTGGTGCCTTGCTTTTAACGGTATTTCTAATTTTGCCTCATCAGCTCCGTAAGAGCTGCAGACCCTAGAAAATTAGGAGCTGCCCCTCTAACAAGCCCTGATGAGGTGAAGGCTGCCTCTAAGCGGTGTGGGCGAAAAGGGAGGGAAAGATTTTTTTTTCTTCAGTTTTGTGCACAAAATAATTCGCAACTCGCACAGCACGTTCCATTGAATTGCAGCCACGCATTAGCAATAATTGCAGTGACGCTGAATCTCAGCATTGCACTGTTTTATACGTTTTTAAACTATTTGTTTGTGCAGAAAGAAGCTGAAGTCACGAAGGGCTGTGCGCGGGTCTGGATACCTGCGTACCCTTGGCGAGCTTTAATTACGGGCTGAGAGAAACAGCGCTCGCTCTCCTCTGCTTCCTGCTGCTGTAATTCTGCAAAAATCGATGCGCTCCATCATCCACCGGGTCCACTACTGATCTATTCTCCTAATCTCATTTCAAGTGAGCACCCTATTCTACCTAGAAAATAGTTTATCATGGAATGGAGTTTAAAACTTTAGTCGCCAGAAGGCAAGAAACACGATTATTAACCAAAGTCCTGCAAACAATCTTGCCTTAATCCAATACGCGTTGCCCCAGCCCGAGGGGCTGCAGAAGGCGCTGGGCCAGCCCAGCTTTCCCAACAGCTTCGTGAGCGAGCTTGAAGCGAGCAATGGTTTTCCGGTTTGAGCACATGCGTTCTCAGCTTTCCTCAGTGTTTAATCTCACGGTCAAAGGGGTTTGTTGTGCTTGCGTTTGGGGAGAGGGCTTGCTGCTCTGCGGCAATTGCCTACTGCTTGCTCCCTAATCGCCTCTACCTAAGACGCTGCAGAAATAAAATTGCCTTTGATTGACTCATTTGTGTCTGCGGCAGCTTGGTGAGGAACAGTACTTCTTTTCAAGCTATTTGAAAATTTAAATCAGTTTTAGACAGATAAGAGGAGATCACTCCAACTTAACACGGCTTTCGCTTCCCCTCAGTCGTGGCCGGAGGAATAGCGCCGGCAGATGACCCGGGCGGCGAGGCCCTGCGCTTTTGCTCTCTGCACTGGGTCGGCGATATAAAATAATAACCCAAAAAGCCGGTGGCGGCATAGCGCCAAAGAGGCAACACAGGCAAGTATTGATGGGTTAAAGGCAGCAGCAGCGGAGCCAGGAGGTGGGCGGCGGGGAGGGCAGGTGCCTGCTGGCATCTCCCCCCCTTTCTGGGCTCCCTCCACGTTTTCCACCTCATCTCCATTACTCACGGGGCCGCCGGCTGCGTAGGTGGTCGTTTCGGCTGAAATTCCCGGGATTTCAGCTCACTGCTTTTTTTTTTCCTTGGGCTTATAAAAGTCATCGATGACGCATTAAAATGCAGTCAGAGGGGAA